TGAATAAGAGACTTAAAGAGATATGAATTGAATAAAAAACTCAAATGAGATATGACCTAAATATGAAAATGAGATATGATTTGAATAAGAGACTTAAAATGAGATATGACTTGAATAATAGAATCGTTGTAAGATATGACTTGAATAAGAGACTCAAAATGAGATATAACTTGAATAATAGATTCGTTTGATGATATGACTTGAATAAGAGACTTAAAGAGATATGAATTGAATAAAAAACTCAAATGAGATATGACCTAAATATGAAAATGAGATATGATTTGAATAAGAGACTTAAAATGAGATATGACTTGAATAATAGAATCGTTGTAAGATATGACTTGAATAAGAGACTCAAAATGAGATATAACTTGAATAATAGATTCGTTTGATGATATGACTTGAATAAGAGACTTAAAGAGATATGACTTGAATAAAAAACTCAAATGAGATATGACCTAAATAAGAAAATGATATATGATTTGAATAAGACACTTAAAATGAGATATGATTTGAATAATAGAATCGTTGGAAGATATAACTTGAATAAGAGACTCAAAATGAGATATGACTTGAATAACAGATTCGTTAGATGATATGACTTGAATAAGAGACTCAAAATGAGATATAACATGAATAAGAAAATGAGATATGATTTGAATAAGAGACTTAAATGAGATATGACTTGAATAATAGAATCGTTGTAATATATGACTTGAATAAGAGGCTCAATATGACTTGAATAATTGAATAGTTAGATGATATGACTCGAATAAGAGACTCGGTGACGTGACTTGACTTGACTTGCAATAATGCCTGGGGAAGATATAAAAATGAACAAATCATTATTGTATTTAAGATTACTACTATCTCCAAGAACGATAAATGTATATGGCCGCCGTATTTGAAATATGTAATTCAAAAAATTATATAAATTGAATAAAAATCCAATGCTAGATGACTTTCAGGTAAAATATTTTTATATTTTCAACTTCCTGTGTTTAAAAGTAGGATCTATCTTAACTCAATGATCGATGATATAGCATGACACATTCATCAATAATTTTCAGAATTCCTGGTGACATGAACGCCTTGCATTGTTGGCTATATGTATTACCTAACGTACGTGACACGGTGCGTAGGCCAGACGTGACGTGGACCACTATCAATACGGGCCTATATCCGACATGTAATGTAGCATTCATTCCACACAAAAGCAGAGATAAGTACCATTTACCCAACTAAATGGACCCTTTCTTCATGTCCAGTGGAATGAATAGAAAAACTTCCTGATCATGCAACGCTTACCCAAATTGACTGCATAATTATGTCAAAGCTACTAAATTCGCCTAGTGAACTCAAAATAACTAAAGCCCTATTCAAATGGAAAGAAAAGATATGTGAAAAGGAAATGTTTAATACACTGAAGTATCGTTTTGAATAACATATTTTCCTACTCAACTAATGGCAAAGAAGTAGTTAAGGAAAATTGGTCGAACTAAAGTATGATAAAACTGAAAGGGGACAAACAAGGTGAGCTATTTTCGAAATATTTTCTTTCAATGTTTTTTAATTTATGAAATGTTTTAACTGAGTGTCAGCATTCTAATTTGCTGTATTTATTCATTGTTTAATTCGTAATGTATGTCCATATATAGAGTATGACATTTGAAGTTATTTGGGTACAAATAGAAAATTTGGGATTTGAGTAATGCAGTCAATATACAACCGTTTTTTGTACTTCACGTACATGTACATATTCACAGAGATCCGAATCATATTAGAAAAAATGTATATTCTGATAAATAATTATATTGACTCAAGGTTTGGGGTAACTTAACGGGTTAAAAATGTTGGACTCTATTGATCACCCTGTACGCGCGGGAACGAATTAAACTTCCGTACCTCCTATGCACACTATGGACGTCGACGCGTACGTGTACGTCGGTATGCAATTCCACTATTCCACCAAACATTTTAGGTCGTCATACCCCCCCCCCCCCCCTCCTCCACCCTCTAAGTATGGCTTTGGCCCATTGTTAGAGGTGAACAGTTTAACTCTACTACTCTACTACGCATATCTTACTCAGTACTATTTCATTGAGAATATCGCCTTCTGAATACAGTGATAGTCTCCAGGTGAAGCAGTCGCCATGGTAACATGATTAAATAAAAGAATTATCAAATATTAAAATCAGCCCAAATTCCATTTCGACGTGTCACTTTATTCAAGAATAATTGGTCAATTAATTTTAAACATCATGAATATCTCTGGTGTTGAGAGATGCATATTGGGGGCACGTGAACATTTAGGATCATAAACAACAGAAACAATTAGAGTTTCAATGCTTCACGGAGTCAATTTAATTCGAGTCGCCAATGACAAAGATGGCTTTCTACCAGTATTCAAAAGACAGATATAAAAGCGTTTGTATCAAAATGAATACATTTCAGATTTGAATAGAATTAAATATATTTTAGTCATTAGAAAAGGATGGCTCATTCAGATCCACATGTTGTGAGGCTATTTGGAATTGAATAGTTTCATTATATCTTGTTATTTAAATGTCGTCTGCTAATCTCTATTCCACGGAATTTCTCTCTCAAATTTGATTGGACTGCCTAATTTTCAAGCAGTTCTATATCATTTAGCATGTGTTCTATATGTTTATGTAGTTTATTCTTTGATATCTTTATTTTAAGGATCATATTTTTCAATTAGAAAAATTACCTTCGCGACATTTTTTCCCGGGGATCCTTACAATAACATATAATGCGCAAGTCGGGAAGCTAAACTATCGTTTTCATGAACATTCAATGCAAAATTATATATTGACTCGATTTTATGTATCACGAGAATAGAACGAAGAAAAGACTATAGAATCCTCATTCAGACCATGGTATAGAAACTTTAATATTTATTGCCTTTAGATAAAAAGCCTTACGAATTCTCTCTCTTTGGAACATGTTCCTTTATTGTACGTATTCTCTTTCACTACAAAACTATTCAAAACTTTCAATACGGTTTCTAATATCTCACGGGGCAGTACGTTTGAAAACCACATTCTTGTTAAAGTCATCAGACATACGTCGGTAGCATCTTCCCGAGAAGATACATTCATGGATTTATCTGCCATCTTGAAATACGAACTAAGGTTGTATTTCACCATATGGTTGTTATTACGTCATTGCGCAATAAAATGATTGTGGATTATCGAGATTTTTTATTGGATTAATGATTCGTTAGAGGCCACACCAAAGATGGGTATAGGATAATGCCATATACCAATGAAGTTCGTCACTTGCTAAGCATGTGCAGAACGCAGGTAGGATCGTGTTTTGTTTTGTCCCTTGGGTCTAACCATATCGGGTACACAACGCAATATTTTTGTTAGAAAATAAAACATCATTTAAAGTTATAGAGATTTTTGAAGTATATAAATTCTGCGCGATTGGAGGTACACTCCCCTCCAAATGTTTGTCATTTCTATCTCACTGTTGGGTAGGTTGTTAAAGCGAGGGTGATTCGACCTATTGAACGTTCCAATCTGGACAAGAGGTCTAGAAATTATTTATGATTTCTCTTGGTTCATTGTACCTTTCTCCTCTGTGGCCTTATTTGACCTCATCAATAATACACAGTAAGGGCCAGGTAGGCATGAATACAAACTAGGACTGTAATTCCTGGGGGACAATATTTCCTTTTACACCACTACCAGTTACATTTGATCTGGAATGGCTTATTTCAAGAGCATAAAATGGAAAAAAAACATGAAAACGTGTCCATAATTTAATGGTAATGGCATGATTACAAAACTCGTATTCTACATTTAGTTCAGTCCATGATTTAGACGCCCGCCCACCCGCTCATCCCCCCCCCCCCCATTTCTTCCCCCAAACAAATGAATTTGATAATATGATAGGATATGTGAGGTCAACTAGCTGTTTGGCGTTGGTGCCATTAATATCGAACACCCTGTACATAATGTTAATGCAAATTGGGTTACTCTGTTTCAAATATATTCTTATCCTGCCTCACTCTTTACTATGATGTCAAAAATGTTGTTTATGTATCTTTCATTTGTCTTTATTACCTACTATATTTTGGGTGGTTGAAGCCAAATATGAACATAATTAATAAAGAATTCGGATTTTGAGAGCAAACGGTGCAGGACTGTTTGATCAACCCTCGTAAATTGAAGTACCCTTTGTATTCGCTCGACTTCAAGACTCTGCGCGCAGGGTGAAATTGGAGAGTACAGCATTATAATGTCCAATAATAACATTCAAAACATTTAAAAATTTAATGAACTTATTGAAAAGGGTAAATATCCGACAAGATGATTTAGATTCCACACGCTGTCAAATGAGGATTCGGATCGCCAAAAACATTTGGAATTGAGGGTATCATTGTGTAAGCGGAAGCATTGTATATTACCTCACCATACATACATATACATCCTAACTATAGATTAGAGTATCTCTATATCAATACAATTGGCGTAATCAGCTCATAGGCAGACAGGAAACTTTCCAGTGAAATATCTTTAGTCATTTTGAAATTTATGTCCAATAGTAAAGTGCAATTAGACCAAATGTGTTGTATCCTCTTAAGCTTTAAGTTTGCCGCTACTGTTCCAATTTGCCTCACCTTATCTTATTTGCCCCACCTATTCCAATTGGCCTCACCATTTTGGGACCAGTCTAATCTTCAGAATACTCCATAAAGCAAGCGAATTATCCTTGAAAGGTAAAATGCCAGCTTACCAAGTCCCCAGGTCCCAATTAATCCTAATCTCTCTGTTCAACAATGTATCAATAGGGAGCCAGATTTATCTGTCCGTTTCCATCATATAATATATTTATTTTTGTTTTGCATGAATAAGCATGATATTTTATTGTATTTACAGAAAACCTGCCATCTGCATTACATGCACAATGAAGCTATATTAAGCAAATGGATTTAATCACATTGTGATGTAGTGAACGCCTTGATGTCATCATCCTTGTATTCAACGGCATCGTGGTCATCGTCACCATCGGAATTGTCGACATCGTCGTCTTCGTTGCCATCAACAAAATGGATTATATTAATTTACATGGGTGATTCAATTAGTCATTCATATTTTAGTACAGCAATGTTTATAAGAAATTGTGCTATCATAAAAAAATGTGCTGAAATTGTGCTGAGTTCATTGTGCTCAATTTAGCATTGCTAAATGCGAGCTAATATATAAGAACTGTCGATATCTTGACGTCCATGAATTGGATAACGCATCATTACGTCATAGGCGTATTCTATAAATACGTCAATAACGTTAAACCGGTGACGGTTATTTCATGGATACTCAATTATGACGAGTAACGTCGAGTTATGTTTTGGATTACGTACCTTGACGCCATCATTTAGCTGAAAACTTCCTCGAAATCATGGAGTATCCTAAAAGTTAACATGTGGACTTTTGATATCAAATACCATTTGCAAAGAAAGACGCCAAAATCACACCGATTTTACATACATACATCATCGCATCAAAGAAGTGTGGAAAATAGGAAATACCTCAAAAATGACGTGAATACGTGGATTAATTGTCAGATGTCACCTTTTTGGATTACCTGTCATTTGGTTCACCTTTCCACCAGGCTTTTTCCATGGACTCTCACGTCTATGGCCTGACGCGGCGTTCTACAGGATTATCGTGGATTAAAACATGAGTAGATGGATTTATGCATTTTTTAATCATAAACATCATAGCAATACTTCATCATAAAAAAGCATTCTGGATTTATCTCAAATGACATCCAACGTGAGATACTCCTCAGTCTTCAGCCCATGATCTGTCCTCCAGAAATATATCTGGTAAGTATCTATTTCAGCTAGTATGTTATACTTATGTGGCATTGTTATTGACGAATGCTTACTACATTCAAATGCATCATATAAATGCACGCTATAGTAAAATGCGTCATAAGATCCTTACTATAGCTATAATACATAATGCGTACTTTATCAAATAAACGCACACTATAATAAAATACATCATGTAAATGCTTACTTTAGTCATGATGTCTCATATCGCTGTCATCGAGCATTATACCTTTTCGAAAAACCCTGTCACCTTTTGGTATACCAAAGAAGCTATAATATATTTGCTAGATTGATGCCATTGGTTGTAGGTAGCAAAATCTTTCCAAGCAAACATATGTTTGACCCGGATGATTGACTTATAACTAATCAGTAATTTTGAAAGAAAATGTACAACCAATGACATCATCAATCTAGCCAATATATCCTAGCTTCTTTGCTGTTCCCTGCAATGAAATGTAGCCGACGTCTGACGGGAAAAACAAAACTTTGAGACATTAATTATAAGTCTTAGGAGACAAGCACATTTTAGCGCCATCTATAAAACTAGTCGAACGCTATTTCATTTTAAATAACAAACACAGTGTGCATCCCTGTATGGTGCTGCCATCTAGAGTTAGAATTGTAAATGATATGATAGTAAAATGTAAGAATGAAGGTGCATAATTATACATGGCGCTTGCGTTTACGTTCATTCCATATCATCATTTAAGTATTAATCAACTAATTGATCACACCTCACGATTGCGTAATAACATTGACATGTGTAAATAAATTATAAATTGTCATTTGCTGTATTTATACAATTTGCAAAGTTTAATTATCGCCACTATCTTGGATGTCCCTATACTACAGTACGTGTAACTTATTTAGTTTAACTTTGTTTCATGTTCCTATCTTGATCCATCAAGGTATGACTGGAGGAATACACTGGTTTAACAGTAGTATGCGATGTACCCTCTTGCCTTTTGATAAATTAGATATAGATTTAACTATTTTTATATTTTTAATATTTGAATAACGGTTTGGCTGACTTGGCTCCATTGTTTGTTCATAATTTTGTTCATAATTTTGTTCAGGCCTCACTATGTCCAAGACGAGCGTAAGAAGTCATCATTTTTCATCCTCGGAAACCCCTCTGGGAATCCAGTTCTAAATATCATCCTATGAGGTTTCAGGACAAATAGTCAATATCTTTATTTCGTCCAACCATATAATTATTATAATATCAGGAAAACATGGCATTCTTGAGGCTAAAACACTTATTCGTCTCGTGTATCGTATAATTAGACTTAGCCATGTACATTTGTATATGGCTCGTGAAGATACGAACTCGTAAATTGTAAGTTTGGGTTAGATGTTTTGGACTCGGTTTTGGAAGTGTAAAAATATAACTTTGGAATTTCGTGAATTTTTTACTAAAGTAATGTGTCGTTTATGAGCTCTGTGTTCCGTTAATGTTCATCTAACGTAGACGTTATGTTCAGCCTAAATATCCCAATCTATCGAAACAAAAAGTTTTAATTTAAAACCCAATGATTTAGCATATTCTAAAGTTTTAATTTAAAACCCAATGATTTAGCATATTCTACCATAGTGTTATATAACTTCAGAATCTAGGTTTTAAATTAAAACCATGGTGATAACGATGTCGATGGTTTCTCTAGCTAGTAATTTTAGACGGTAATATATTAAGTTCTTTCTTGAGGACGAAACAAGGCCAACACGACATGAAAAATAACACGAAATAAAAAAGAACACGTGAAATATGTTTACCCCTCGGTTCAACCCTCGCTGTGTTTGCTCACCAGAGCGAGGACACAAAATAGAGGAGACGACATTTTGATGGGTATCAAATTTTTAAGGACAATTAATTTCAGTGACACGAAACTGAAACGTAAAAATATTTTAGAAGGATCTAATGTACCCATAATGTTGTTCACTGTTGTAAACGTATAAATCAGTTTTGCTGTGTCAACTTTGAATCTGCGATATTTTATTTTTATTTTTTCCTGAACAAGTTTCTACTAATAAGGAGAATACTACACGTATATAGTACTGTCAACCGATGTCGATTGTGCACTTCTTTAGAGGTCAACTGGTACCCGTTTTTTATTGTTGACTGATTTGTGGATCATGGGCGGTCACGCAACTCCATTGCACCCCCCTCCCCCTCCCCTTCTATTAAAATCTCGTTTGCTTCTTGCGTTACTAGGGTTTATAGATTATAGGGATGGGACGGAGGATATGTTGACGCATTTCAGGAACAATAAGTATATGACGAGAATTTGTTATGACGTACGAGATCGGTAGAGAATATCAACTTCAGATTTTTTCAAGGGGACCAAGGGATTTGATCTACCCAATGACCAACAATACAATGCAAATGGTGTAATATTTATCTTCGAAAGATCGTCAACCATTATAAACAAACAAAAGGTCATCGTGTTTTCTATAATAAATCAAGATGTCTAGATACAGTAATTCTATTTCTGATCAAGGAGTTAGATCATATCAAGTCAGTCAATCTGGCATAGTCACATTCTACAAGTACACGGAACATGACAAAATGATAAGATAAAGAGCTCAGTGAATGCTTCTGGTGGATGTGCATAGAATGTATCTGTGTTAGACCAATTATTCACACACTGTACTCTCTGTACGTGTTAGAAAAGGTGTGATATTAGGAGAATTTCATAACAATTCTCAAGATATTAATTATCAGATCAGTACATATAATATGTAGTGTTGATTTGTTGTCATTGCGTATACCTGGTACTCAATCCTTAAAGGTGACCGGGTTGTGATGTTATGGCAGTTTACACATGTAGAAAGCCCATTATATTCATTATCTTACGATGATCTTATCCACCAGGGCAACTTTTAGATATCCAGGAATTTGGTTATTTTCCAAGGTTTAAGATGGCGGAAGTTGTCGAAGAATGCCGACAATGTACTCTACGTCACCTCGTCGGAATTTAATGAGTGATCATGATATCCTCTGTATTTCAAATTAAAAGTACAGAAGTAAAAGGTATTCGTGAACCATGATGCAAACTCGTCATTACCATGTGATCATATTGTAAAACATCTAGGTGCTTCATGACCAAAAAGGCACGAACAACTATCAATTAGTCGTGTTTGAGATGTTACACTCGCCATGCCCATTTCTCCCCTGTCTCTATAGAATTCCATGAAATCTAGATGCTCAAAGTTTCCACCTAAATTCACGAGGTTAAATTTTATTTAAGTTTTCACAGTCGTTCTTGTAAGCTCATCAATTTTCACTTTAGTTCGCGTTTTAAAACATGACAATCGTTTAATTTTACACCCGGGAAGAAGATTCTTTACAGGTCCAGTAAAGCACGATTCTTACCCAACCATAAAGTTCCACGATGGTGATGTATAAAACCAAAATAGACCAAAATGAAAATAAACTTATTGGAAAGAAAATGATCAATCATGTAGTATATATATCAAAGTATATAAAACACCAAAAAATCAAGTACTTCATTCAAATTTTAAAGAGAAAAATGAGTATTTTGTTGACGCAGACGACATCTCTGTTTCTGCGAATAGTATGGATATGATGTTGTCTTCCGGCTAATTTCCTCGTAAGAAGATACTCATTAGCGCTTGATTAGAGAGGAATTGCGCTAATGGTAATCTCAGTGTCGTAGAAATGAACCTATTATTCGAACTACTTTTTCAATTGGGCTATCACTTTCGCAAGTGAATAGGACGTTCTTACATCGTATATGTAACTATTGTTCTTTTGATAAGGGGTCTTGACTTTTGTCCTGGATAGAACATTTGTATTAGAAAGAGCTTTTTTCTTTGGATGTATATCATCTTCGACTCCGTCGATGTTTTCAGTAAGTAACAATGTGTATCCCCTCTCTTGTGTAGCCTACAATCAATTTGTATTTCGATTTAGTTTCGATCTATACTATATTGGTTTTGCAAATAAAAATAAAACTGGATATTAATCCTATGCTTCTAATTATGAAAACTAGGTGAATCATCTGGATAAAACCCATATTCATTCCTTCTCAGTCAATAACTGAAATACATTAGAAAATAATAATTATATAAGAAGAAGAATGAATGATAAAAATGCATAACTATGTCAAGTATACTATACTTTAAATTTGGGTTGATAAAATGAATAAAACGCAATAACAGATACAAAAACGTTATTTTGTACTTTAAGAGCAACCAGTTCAAGCGGATACAAACCAATACAAGGAGTGTTATAGGCGCCTTCACGACATCGTCCTTCTCATTCGAACTCAAACTTAAAAATATACATATTTCTTACTTCGGTTAACGTGGGCAATGTAAGTGGATTGACAGTAGCGTTTATCAAATTGATTACGTGATGAACGAATTCTAAATTCAATGTAGTCCTAGGTGCAAGCCATGATAAGCTTGTACCTGTGCCGCCTTTATAAGCTCACATTTGAGATCTTTTCCAGGCTGGTATGCAGGACTTTACGAAAATGGGTCTAGTCTAGAGTACCATACCTGATATTTTGCGAAAGTAATTGGTGATCCAGCAAGGACAAGTACTGAAACATATCCGTGTACAAATTAAAAATTATTACTTGGATTTCCTTATATTGAGAAATTGTACTACTCATTTTAAGTCAAAAATTACTTAAATAATCTTGAATTACTGAATAATTTTTAAGTAATTTTTAAGTAATTCATTTATGGTGAATTTACTCATGCAAGGGGAGAAATTGAAATACTTACTGTAGTAATTGTAATACTCATTTACATAATTAAGCAATTAAAAAACTCAAAATGACAATATAAGTTAAACCTAAGTAAAATGAAGTAAAACTAAGTATTTAACTTTAAGTAATTTTTATACTTGGGAAATACTCAAGTAATTCATTTTTAAGAGTGTTCAAATTAAACACGTACATCTACTAAATCCTCGGTCAAATTTGCTCACGGCGGGTGTACGACGGTCCTAGTTTCACAAA